CGCGCCCGTCCCGCCGCTAAGCTGGAGCGCAGGGCGGCGGGGCCAGCTTCTAGCCACCAGCCCGGTGGTGCCGGGCCGCGGGGAGCCGTTCTGCCCAGCTCCGCCGCGCCCGTCCCGCTTCCTTGTCTGCCCAGCACCGCCTCCCTGCCGCCTCGGCCCCTGAGTTCAGGGGATCCTGGTCGATCCTGAGCGCTCCGTAGGGAGCGTGTCCGGTCGGTCTGCCCGTAGCCGGGAGGTTGGGGTAGGGCCTCTCCAGCCCTCCCGTCGCTTCTCTCTTGCTAGCTCAGTGCCCAGAGCGTTTCAGTGATGGGCTAGCAGATCGAAGACCACTGGCGGTTTCAGTAAGCGGTAGTCATAACTTTTACCAGAAAAGTTGTGAAATAACTCTGAACGTGCATTGCCAACTTGGCGTCATAGTCAGAAGAGTTAACGTGATTTTGGGGATGTGTTCCCCGGAAACAAACACATTCTTCCATCCAAAAATTTTCAGGGAGACATTATTTAACAACATTCTTTGCTCCCATCACTAAACTGTTCTCACAGTAGAGTAATTCAGTTTTGTATGTTCTTTTTATAAGAACGATGTGTATTCTTGCTTCTCAGAAAATAGTAATCCTATACTTCATCCTATTTACCTAAATTTAGCAAAATAATCTTGCACATCATATAACTCTTTTATTCTCAGTTACCTATAAACGCTCACTGGTAGTGGTTTTATATCTCTAGTTATAAACTAACTCTTTCAGTCCATCTGTTCTCATCACTCTGAACTTCTTATTTTGTAACTTTGCTGAGTCCTTTGCAGGTAAAACTCTCCTCGATTACACAAGGGTCTGTGAATAGCTGCAGTTAATTAATTTGTAGGAAGCTGGAGTGTGTTGGAAAACAGAAACACTGAGAATGTGCTTTTTCTTTTATCTTTTTTTTTTTTTTTTTTTTTTTTTTTGCATTCATAGAGTGTCTGAAGGAAAAGGCAGAGATTGTCTGCATGCCAGAATGGAAAGTGTCATCTGACTCTTATAAAAGTGTGGAGCAGGGGAGCATGGAGGCTTGACCATGGAGCGTGTAGTGTATAGTCATGTAGAAACACTGATGGTGTTTGTGGACAAACTTTGGACTGACAAACTGTGGACTGACTTTTTGATTTCCATGGAAATCAAAATAAAAATTCCATAAAAATTGATAAACCACCATAAAAATTCCATAAGAATTGATAAACCACCACTTGTAGTCATCTCTAGGGTTAATTTCACTACTGCTAGTACTGCCTCTGTAGTATGTCTAAGCCTTTGTTATGACTGCAGTCTTTTTGGCTTGGTTCTATCTCAGGTCTACTCAAGTCAAACTTATTTATATTTATGCTCTGGAGACTGGTTTTGAGTTGTCAGGAGGACATGTTTGTCTCCTTTCATGTGGTTTTTAGTGCAGGCTTAGATGGAGGTTACTGGTGTAAATGATTTGCTCCTCTTGCAATCAGAGTTTTGTGGTAATCTCCATTATAAAGCCATTTGTAAACCTTGATGTGTTTTCTGTCGATTTTTTTTACTTATGAAATAATATTATAGCTGAAACCTGGAAGTTAACTTTTAGTTCATAGAGAGTTTTATTATTCACACAGTAACATGCTGTTTTGTAATGTTAGAGTGAATAAATCTTTGTAAGCTTATTTATTTCAAAGCATTGTTTTTAATACTCTAATGGATTTTATTCTTGAACATGCCATCTTTTGCATTTTTCTTTAAATTTATCAGCCTTGTACTTTAGTAACAGTTAAGAATTGACTGGGTTTTTGAGTAACAAGGGTACATAGATTAAATCTTTACAGATGTTTCTTTGAGAATTTTTTTTTTTTTTTTGCAAGAGGTAAATGAAGAAATGATAAATCAGAAAAGAGAATTTAAAAGCAGTGTATATTCTTATTGTGGAGATAACTTTTTTCCTGGTTTAATTCCTGATCAGAAAAATAAGTCAGTGTAAGTTAGCCTAGGCCTCAAAAAGAGCTCCTGTTTGGCAAATCTATGATTTCTATTAAGTTACTTTTTAGTAGACACTTCAATTTCGGCTTCATTATTTTTAGTGGTATGTGGGAATCTTTGAGATGGAAAACTGTTGGGATGCTTCAGTTATGTTTATTATTGACTACTTAGTTAATACCCAGAAGAACCCTGAATGTTTTATGATTTTTGTGATAACTCTCTTTCTTTTCCTTTAGTATTCAACATGTATATGGAGCTCAGCATCCACCTTTTGATCCATTATTGCATGGAACGTAAGTTAACCTAATATTTAAATATTCTAGGTGATTTGGATCTTCTCTGCCTTCTCTGCTCTTTTTCTTTCCTCTTGGCTATAAAGCTTATCATTAATATTCCTTTTTCAATTTTTGTCATAATCTTTACTTCTCTATTCTAACTTCTCTTTTGTGACTTCCTGATGCTTATCATATTGGGAACAACAAATGACCTGTTCAGTTCTTAACTAATATAGATTTCCAGCTTTTATTATCTATTTGCAGTGCTTTATACATTGAAAATTGTATGGTAAATACTAATCTTAATTAAGCAGATAAAGCTTGCAACTTGGGTGTAAGCGGCTTTCCTGCATGTATCTTTCTGTTAATGGGTTGGCTTTATTTATCTGTCTATAAGAGAAGAGTGTCAGGTTGTGGTGTACATTATTTTGAGGCAAAGATTGGCATTTTACTTGTGAGTGTACAGTAGGTATAATAGATTTTACAGTGATTTAAAAGTTTATTGCCTTCGATCGTGATTATTGGATATCAGAACACAATGTACGTGAAAATGGCAACATTATGTTAAACGTAAGCAGTAACTAAATAAATTTTGTGCTGGTAATACACTATTGTGAGTGAATGATTTTTGTCTCCTTATGACTGAGGTGTTGAGCAAAATGATACATTCTGACAGCTTCTGCTTTTTATATTTTATTGTTGTCTTTTTTTTTTTTTTGGTTAAAGACAGTTTGTTTTAAGCTTTGTCAATTACAAAGTTGTTTCTGGTTTGTTGGTAGATTTCACAGCTCCTTCAAAACCAGCATTGCTGTTAAAATGCTGGTGTATGTGAAAATTTTGGGAAAACTATGAGCAATGAAATGAATAGCCCAAGGCAATAAGGGCAAAAAAATATTAGAAGGAAAAATATTGGCTTGGAAGGAGGTCATACTCCTAGTGGATTTTTTTCAAGGGCTGTTTTGAAATGGCACAAGAAGTAAATGTGCTAGTTCATATTCAGATGATACAGTTGAAGGCAGTTGAAATTTGCGACCAGGCATGGGATGAATTGGTTCAAAATGTGGAGTTATAAAGACCTAGTAAAAAAATTCTAAAATCCTTTTTCTTGAAATGATGACAAAAGAGGAGAAAGACCTTGCTATTTTAGACAGTGATGACAAGTTGGGTGAAAGTGTTAAGTGTTGTAGCACCTGTTAGGAAAGATACTCCCTGTAACAGAAGCATTACTGACATTGTATGAAGGCTGTGTGAGAACGTTTTCTGATTTCCAATTCTGGCTGTCTTGTCTTAAAAGAAAAAAGGTAAATTAGCACAAGTGGAAAGACAGGGATGGTCAGAAAGGGCAATTGAGTTAATGGCAGTAACTTTTTTTTCTTCTGAGAGCAGACTGGGAAAGTCTTTCAACTTCATGCCTTATTTAGCAGAAATCTGAAGGGAAATGTGGTTACTCTGCATTATTGTATGTGACAACAAGTGCCAAGCTAGGGAAGGATACTTGCTTCATCTCTCTTATGCTGTGTGTTGGCAGAGGGACAAAAGATCAGAGGCTGATCAGGGTACATTTAGACTAGTAACTAGAGGAAATATCCTGCCTATGAGAAGAGCAAAGTTCTGAAGCAAGTCTGTGCTGGCGTGCCTGAATGGGGAGGAATGATAGATTCAGTGAGTTTTAAGGTGAGACTTGATTTGTTTATGACAGTGATTATATTACATGATTGCTTATGATGACTTAGGAGTATACTTGATGACTTGATTACTGCTCCTGCGTTGTTATGTGGCAATTGCATTGAAAGGCCTGAAATCTGCACAGAAGTTCATGAAGCAAGAGAAGTGCAATGTGGCCTGTCTATCTTGCAAACTATTCCAATAGTATTCCTTTTATTTGACTCTGGGTCTTTTTGTCTTGTTTTTTGGGTTATGTTTAAGACAAGGGAAGGAAGGATTTGTTCAGCCTCTGTTCAAGGCTAAGAAGACTCAGTTTTTACCTGCTCTTGTTCTCAGACATATTCATCTGTATGTTATCATGGGTGGATGCAGCAGTACATGAGTTGAGGAATGTAAATATTTTCTACCTGTATAATGCCAAGCATGGAGTTTTGTTTTTTGGTCCCATCCATAGTATTTTGCTTACTTCATTACTAGTTCTCTAAATATTGTTTGTTTTTGAACAGCTTGATAAAACCAGGTTCAAAGCCACCTACAACTCCAGTGAAACTAAAGAAAGTCAGCACCTTCCAAGAATTTGAAAGTAACACAAGTGATGCTTGGGATCTTGGGGATGATGATGATGAACTCTTAGCAATAGCTGCTGAAAACTTAAATACAGAAGTGGTCATGGAAACAGCTCACAA